ACGAGTCCTATTTCGACACTTATGATTGCATTTTAGTAGGTCACCAAGCTGTAATATTAATTGAAGAAGGCAGATGTTTCCTGTGAGTCCATATTGTTTCCCACAACCTCTTTGCTGCGATGGAAAAACAAAATGTCTTCCTGCCAGACGAATCACTAACACACTCTCTCTTTTTGCTCTCTCTGTGTACAGTACTTGCAAACTCAAGGCGAAAGATCTTGGTGACTTAATTTCAGATATTTTTCAACCAAGCACATCTATAACAGAAAGATAGAACATTCAGGGTCTGGCATTGCTATAGCAACACCTTTTAGTGGCTTGTGAGTGTATGTTGGGTAATCAAAAAAATGTAGTTCATCATTATGGTGCTTATGAAAAGTAGGGTTTAATGAGTTGTTGTTGTTCATGACTATAAATTGGGGTTTATTTTAGACCACATTTTACAGTTAAAGCATGGTAACATTGAGCAGGTGTAATGTTTACTATGCTTAACATCCTGGTTTAGCATATTAGCAAGCAAATCATCTCTGTAGACAAATGTGTTTTGGTGGGATTTGGTTGCATGCACGTATCTATGCACTACCTAAAATGCAATCTTATTACAATGAATTCATTATCTTTTTAATAATCTCTATTAACAGATATCTGCCCATGATTGCAGATAGACCACCTCGTTTTTGAAGTTGCTAAAAATCCATTGGCTACACTGAAACACCAGAAATGTTGGCTCTCTTCATCACACAATAGCCGATGGGTGCTGGAAGTGCTGGGTGTATGGAAGCTTCCAAATAACTCAAACTTAACACAAAGTACAGCTGAGGGTGATGGGTGGACAGTGGACATGGATGGTTAACATTGTTGGTTAAAGGACACACAAGACTCTTAATGAAATCATAGACTCGGACGTGTGAAATGTGGGAGTTGCTGCTTGCGTCTTTGAGCTGTTCATATTTAAATAGGCAGTGAGTCATCATGCATGGGCAACAACAAAGCTTTTTCTAATTTTAGCCATTTGCACATCACCTCAAAATTACTCACTGAGAGATTTCAACTGGAGAGTGTATCTCATTACCCAATGTCACACAGTAGCATAGAGCCACTGGTAATGGTAACTGTGTGGTGTTGATAGTGACAGTTTGAAACATGTTGTGACTCTACTGCCTGTACAGCTCGTGTCCTAAATATAGATTCTGCTTTCCATTTGTATATAAAGTGCAGTTCTTAACATTAACCACACTTTAAAAAGGTGCACATTTTAGCTACCTTATAACTCACAGGGTTCAAAGCAAAAATAAGTGTTTGCTACTCAACATGCTAACGTTATTAGCATCAGCCTATGGCATTTTGCACCCCTGTCAATGAGCTAGCAGACTTATGAACTACTTTTAGCAAACAAATAAGTATTTATATGTTGTCTTACTCAGTTTCAGTCGCTGCATTTCCTGGCAGAACAGCATGGTTGACTTTCAGCCTGAATGCCGTTAAGTCACAGCGGCCAATCCTGCTGTAACGAAAGCAACAAGATGGTTATGAACCCTTGCTACATGTAAGTGTCCATTAACAGCTGGTTAGTTAATTAGACTGTTTTTCTTTATGACTTTTCCAAAATAATTGTTAACGGGAATTAACGGGATTACATTTTAATTTGATTTTAAATATTTCCATGTGCAGTCAATTTCAGTGGCGAGCCGTCAGCGCCCTCTAGGACCTCTGTGAGGGCCTAAGATATTCTAAAAAATAATATTTGAAAACATTAAAAAAAAAACATTTTTTTTTAAATATTATTTTTTATATTTTTTTGTTGTTACATTTTTCATTAGTTTTACCAAAATAACTTGATTACATTGTATTTAAAATAATATTTCCAAAGAAATCCTTCGAATCTGCCTGTTCAGTTTCTGTGGGAATGTGAAGGGTTAAATGCTTTATATATACAGTCTATGGTTAAATGCCGTCTCTGCGAGTTATGTGAAGACGGGAGGGCTTGTTGGTCCCTCTCTACATTCACAGAGGGCCCGCTATAGTAACGCAATGAGAGAGTAATGTCAAATGACAGTACAATTGACCAATCATATCTTCCCTCTAAATGGGCGGGCTTTATTTTCGCGGACTTTATGATAGGTTCCGCCCGCTGTGAGGTCTATGCAAGAGGTGCAGTGACGCACCCTAAAACCCGGAAGTAAGCTGCGCTCGGATTCCCTCGACAGAAAGCAGTGGGTCTGTGGAAAACGAACCTGTTAGATAAATGCACGGTGTGTTCAGCCGGATAATATCCACATGTCTATCCTACTTTTATTATTTTTGAATCATAAATCTAATCGATAGATTTATAATTAGCATAAGTTCGTTCATGATGGCTCACTTCAGTGATAGTGATGACATCGTTGCGAAATTATTAACCGAGTCATTTTCAAGATTGAGTTACAATGATAAACTGGAGTGGCAAAGGATCAGCTGAATGACCCGCCATCAAGTGCTTCATCCAAAAGGACAGGAGGATGGACTTTGTGTTTCAGTGATTTGATCATCAAAGGTAGGCCTAATAAGTCATTTTCAATGCGGGCCGCCGTGCCGACTTAATTCATTTGTAATCGCTACTTGGCTGCAGTGGCGTTTTCTCCCGGAGGCCAAGGGAAGCCAGGCTTCCCCTGTTTTTTCGGATTGTAGTTACAATTTAAATAAATAAATAAAAACACTTTGTTTTGTTTCGATAATTCTCCTTTGCTGTGTGTTGCTGCCGGTGTCAGTATCAGTATGTTCGGGCTACCAGATATGTTCGGGTGTATTTCCGTCGCATCCGTCATATACTCACCTCCCTGTGCTCCCAGCGCTCTGCTGCCACACACCGGCCGTCTGTGGAACTGCAGCCGGAGGAACTCGGGACAGCTTGTTATGTGTGAGGTGCTATGGTGGAAAACGGAGACGGAAGCAGTGGCTGTGATGCTAGCTTTGCGGCTAGCGGTTAGTTGTTATTGTTTGAAGTTGTTGCTATGGAAACAACATGACGGAGAAAAAATTAATATCTTCTACATATAATAACGGACAAAGTAAAGAATGAAGTGTAGGCTATGCCTGTTTGAAGTTGTTGCTAAGGAAACAACATGACGGAGAAAAAGTATAATCTTCTACATATAATAACGGACAAAGTAAAGAATGAAGTATCGGCTATGTTTAAATGTTCGTTATTTGACCGTGGTGGCCCTCTTGAGTTGCCGTAAAATATGACGAATATGACGGATGCGACGGAAATACACCCGAACATATCTGGTAGCCCGAACATATCTGGTACTGACACCGGCCCGTCTCTCCCCCATTCTCATTGAGTATTTTACAAAGAGTGAAACAAACAGCGCCGCTCTAGATGTTATGGTGAAACAGTAGATTGCACTCACTGTTGCGAGAGGAGGCCAGCCGAATCTGGCTTCCCTTGGTGAATTTTTTTTTGAGGGATTGGCCAATCAGATGAGGCTCACGTGATGCCCCTGCCAACCTGTGATTGGTCAGGGCCATGCCAAGGGCTTCCCTTGCCTCACAATCCAATCAAATCGCATCAATTTAGTGTTGCAGTGACGCGTCCTAAAACCCGGAAGTAAGCTGCGCTCGGTTTCCCTCGACAAAAAAACAATGGAATTTCTCCATAGGATTTAGGAAAATAGCTCGAAATAAGGTCAGTGGAAAACGAACCTGTTAGATAAATGCACGTTTTGTTCAGTCGGATAATATCCACATGTGTACCCTACTTTTATAATTTTCGAATCATAAATCTAATCGATAGAAGATAGATAGCGCCACTGCACCACTCTCACCGCCGTTAGAAAGTAGCAAGCAACTGAAGCAAGTGCAATTATGGAGGGTGGAGATTTGGAGTATTTCCTCAAAAATAATTGTACTAAACTTCCGCTACAGCAGCAACAACAAATACAATCTGATGCCAGACCAATGCCCAAACTGGAGCTGTGTACAGCGAGGAAAAAAGGAGCGAATCGGACGTAAAACGTTAAAGGTCTCCTGATTTAGTTTGTGAATGAATGCTTATTAGAGTTTCGGCTGGAGAGTGCGTGCGGACCTGTCGGTTAGATAACAGGCGTGTGTAAGTCCTGCATCTGATAAAATTGTGTGTAAAATGATACCGGGTGCTGTAATCACTCATCTGGTTACGTTATTACATTGACCACCACACCCCCGACCCAAAAGAAAGGACGTATTATTGGCTTCCCCTAATTGTTTTTCCCACGCCACGCTACTGCTTGGCTGTGGGTGCCCTGTCATGATAGGTGTTATAAATTGTGTTGTTTTGTGTGGTAGAGGGTCGCTGTCATTGATGCGTTTTGCACCCCGGACCACTGTTTTGATATTCCGCTGAAGTCTACGTTGAGACGTAATATCTCTTCTTTTTTTTCCGAGGGAAGGGGGGGTCAGAGGGCCTAGGTATAAAAGTCACGGCTCGCCACTGGTCAATTTAAATATACTTTCTCTTTATTGATTTCCATAGGTTTTGGTTAGTTCTGCCCTTTCTCTTTGAATTTCACAAAGATAGTCAGAGTGTATAATGTAGTTTTTAAGAATTTCCCAGACACGCCTGTTTTTCTGATCTATTTGTTTCGTCTTTCAATTCAAATTTGGAATTAACTTTATAGTAATTAAAAGAAGATATATAGCAGAGCAAAACATTTGCATTACAAACACCCTGCAAAGCATTAAATGTGAGAAATAAAACATTGTATGGAGTGGAAAAAAACTGATATCCCCTGTGACGTCAGGTGGAGAGATTCAGTTTCCACTTATTCTTTTTTGTTGTAATCGGAGGAAATACTGCTTGTACATTTGCCCCAATTATTTTCCTGGAGACTGGAAATATCAGCGTGCAGAACCTACACTTTCCACCCCCATCAACCACCCCCCTTTCTCTCTGTGATCTCAAAGGGCTTGCTTCACCTCAGTCAAGCTCCAGCGCTCCAGCCGGCAGCAGCATCGAGCTAACAAGTCTTTGTGAGGAGAGAGAGAGGGAGGGAGAATAGGGAAGGGGGTGCAGAGCAGGAGAGAATCAGACAGGGAGAGACATAGGATGAGGGTGCAGTGGGAGAACGCTTAAGATAGTGACAGAGGCAGAGGTGTTCGCTGTTGCACAATAGTGCCAGAGGCTGCTGGCAAGAGGGAGGGAGAGAGGCATCATGGCAGCACTCACTGCATCATCACGACACATGGGGATGTTTGGCTGCTGCTGGTGAACACTGGGATGCAAAGTGGAGGACTTCCTGGAAACCAAAGGCAAGCAGAGGAAACAGGTCAGTGACGGGGAAAGAAGAGAGCATGCAACACGGGGGATTGAATCACGTCACAGGATGATGCTGATACATTTGTCAATAAGAATCCCCCTGTAAGGTGTTTGGGGAGTGGGAGGCTGCGCATGCAGGCAGACACATGTGTGTGTGTAGTACGTGTGTGTGTGTTAACATATCTCCACCAGGGACGTTTAGGTTAAAGAGGCAGCACATGAAACTCTCCTGCATCACCATCTGTGACACAGAATTATGTTACATAGAATGATGTGTTCAGGGTCCCTTCTACGACAGATGTTTTTAGTTTTACAGCTTTTTTCCCTGAAAAGCAGTGAGCTTGTGTATAGGACTTAATACCAGGTAGTTTGGAGATAAAGGGAAGGGAATTCATATTAAAAAGGAATGGAATAATAAGGAAGTCGCACAGGAATATTTGTTTTGCAGTGGGTAGTAAGAGGAAGGAGACAAAGCCTGTTAAAGCTTGGCCCAGCATTCGGCTCTGCTGCATATGATGTAATCCTCCAATCGGTCTATGCTCAACACTTTTTCCAAATATGAAATTTAAGTGTCAAAAAAGTGCACAGGACTTAAGACACACTACATCAAAGTGCGTTTTATGTGTGTGCAAATTAACTCCAATCAGAAGAGTGTACGCACTCAATTCTCCACAAAAGCAACCAAAACAGAACCAAAGTCTTAATTTGATATAAAAGGCAATACACAAAAATTGGCTAAGTCACATAACAACATGGGCCAGTTTTGAATAAATTAAAATGATGACACATTTCCTCAAAAAAAATCAGGAGCTTTTTACTGGGCTCTACTTTTAAAAATGTAATATGTTTGACAATTTTCCAAAAGAAGAAAAACTAATACTTCACCGCTAATTACACCTCTTCCAATTGCTTGCTTCGCTTAATGTTTTTCAAGTTCAATACGAAGATCAGTAATACATTCTGCATAATTAAGCGGTCTATTAAATAGAATGAGCTTAAGGTAAATAAATGTGGAAGTCATTCACTTTTGTTCCCATTAATTTGTACAATTTCAGCTTTCTAGAAGGCACTGCTTATCAACATTATTTTACTGGGGGTTCTGAAGGACTGTAGGATTCAAAGGTTAAATATCGTGATTAAAATGGCAAAGGACACAGAGGCGTGTAGCGCAGTAATATCTTTTTAAATCATAATCAATACTCTGGCTTATATCCATCAGTAGTCACCTACCCTAACTTTAGCCTTGTCCCTTGTGCAGGTGCAACCAGTGAGAGGAGCCACATGATGAGTGGGATCCTGAAGAGGAAGCTTGAGGAGGGCCCGTCCCCCTATCTGTCCCTGCAAAGGTCTGACGATGAGGTCTCCTGCAGCGACAGCGGCAACAGCAGTGACAGTCTCAACCACCCCGTCCCCTCTGGGCTGCTGGACTGTAAGACACAACACAACACTGGACATTGAGATGGAGAAACGTTTCAAAATTGGGTCAATCTTAAAAGTCAATCTTTTGCCGTCTAACAAATGTTGTAAAAAAGCTGATTATAACAACTTAAAAGTGACGATGACGTGATTACCCAGAGCTAACAGAAAGGTATATATTTTCAGCTGTAACTTAATATTTATATATTTTGAATCTGGCTTTTGCTCTATTTATTTGACGGAAAAGGCTGTCATTATGTTCAGCAATGATTTGCACGTTGCATTTGACTGCTCCATTTTATTCTTACTTCACTTCTCTCTGCCTTGGACACAGTTTTAATAGACGCAATCTTATTAGAATAACAACTGTGTTTGTACCAAGAACCTAGTGTTATTCCTACTTAACCACTGGAAGTGTTTCTGTTGTCATTAGCGCCTCCTGCCCCACTACCCTTGTGATGTCCCCCAAACTGTTTGACACCAAAAGATCCAGTGACAGCAGAAATGTAACCCAATTCCCAATTGTCTGTGTCAATTGTAGCCACTCTCCAGCAGCCTTCGAAGCGACTGCGTGGCCGCAACGTGCACTTTGAGAATGTGACAGTCTACTACTTCAACCGCCGGCAGGGGTTCACCAGTGTGCCCACGCAGGGCGGCAGCACCTTGGGGATGTCACCACGCCACAGCGGGGTGAAGCATTTCACCCTCAGGGAGTTTGCCATGGAGCAGAAACTGAGCCACCGGAACATGCTGAGGGACCATCTCAAAGAGGAAAAACTCAATGCCATCAAACTCAAAGTCAGTGTTTCCTGCTTCAAATATTGTATATGTGTAGGCGTAGTTTATGGTCCAATCTTAACTAAACGTTCTTGTCCTCCAGCTGACCAAGAATGGCACTGTGTCATCCGTGGAGGCGGATACCCTGACGCTGGATGACATCTCCGAAGATGACCTTGATGTGGACAACACGGAGGTGGATGATTACTTCTTCCTCCAGCCTCTGACTACCAGGAGGCGGCGCACCCTGCTCCGTTCCTCGGGGGTCCGACGCATCGACGTGGAGGAGAAGCACGAGCTGCGTTCCCTCCGCATGTCCCGAGAGGAGTGTGGGTGCCGCTGCCGGGGGATATGTGACCCGGAGACCTGTGCCTGCAGCCTGGCCGGCATTAAGTGCCAGGTAAATGGAACTGTGGTGAGGCCCATCTATAATACTAAAGTGTTGTTCATGTCTGTCAAAGCAGTACAGCTTCCTCAAAACTTCTTTGGCTATTTGGTCAAAATGGTAAACTGGTACTAATTGGTTTCTACTGGTAAAGAAGACATTTGTCATTTATCTATGTGAACCACCAGATTCCAACAGACAGACATGTGTTTACTTTGCATTATCCAATTAGGGACTATAGCTCTTCCTAAGTAACTCCATGACTGTACAAATGAAATGAAAGCTTTTTAGCCTAGCTTGCTAGCTTACACTTTTTGAGTGAAACACAAACTTCAGGAAGACTGCCTTATTGGTTGTCCAAATGATTCAGTGATAAAAATGGTTCATGAGTATTGCAAAATGACCTTTGTAGGTAACGGCGTGTCTCTTATCTTCTCCTACTTTTTTTATCAAGAAATAGTGCCCACCCTCTGACTCCTGAGAGCTTCTTTACACATCACTTCTAAATTAAAACACGTCTGGAGAAACCCTGCAGATTTAAAGAAAAATAACAAATTTCGTTTTAAATAGCCTTTTTCCCATGTAAATTATTGGAGTTATATTCAAAGTTTTGGAGGATTTTTAAACCAAATTATTGAATAAAGAAGCTCTACTGCGTTAAGGTGAGTAACTTGTACACCCACAGTGGATTCTGCAGCTCTCCCCAAACATGACCAGCTATGATTTATCCTTGAATTCTCTTTTTGTCACTACGGTTTAACACTGGATTTATTTTTGTTTTTCCTCAGGTGGACCGCATGTCCTTCCCCTGCGGCTGCACCAAAGACGGCTGCAGCAACAACACGGGACGCCTGGAGTTCAACCCGGTCCGGGTGCGCACCCACTTCCTGCACACCATCATGAAGCTGGAGCTGGAGAAGAGTCGAGAGGAGCAGCAGCAGCATCAGCAGCAGCAGCAGCCGGAGCAGCAGCTTGTAACCAATGGCAACGGTTACCATGGCGACTCCTCCTTAGTCCAACATCAGCAGCAGCAGCAGACGAACCTGCAGTTTCCATTGATGAGTGGCACACAGCACATTCCCATCATGCACCTCCAAAGCACAGGCGACACCGATTCACATATAGATGAAGAGGAGGAAGAGGAGGAGGAGGAAGAGGATGATGAGGCCTATGAGGACGATGAGGATGGCAGCAGTGTTTGCAGCGGGCTGTCGGACTGCAGCACACACAGCTTAGACACAATGGACACCGAGGAGGACGAAGAAGAGGACGAGGAAGATGAAGAGGATGATGAGGAAGATGACGAAGAAGAGGATGATGATGATTGGGATTGCTCAATGCATGGAACAGGTCCACCGCCCTACACTGTCCCCCTTCCCTCTGTGATGAGTTACTCTAACATGAGCCCCTTCCACAGCTCGCAGCATTATCAAACAGACTCTCCTGCGTTTCTCAGTGAAAATGTCCCCACACTCCCCCCAGTAGAAACAGCCTTAGAGTCTGAAATCAAACTCCACTGCCAAACAGAGCAGCAGAGCCACTTCCCTGACCCCACCGAGTCCATGAAGCTCCAAACCTGTGCACATGTGGACACCCGTGAGAGTATCGCTGCCCCCGCCGATGCAGCTGATGAACAGCCCCCCTCCACAGACCTCCATAACAATCCAGAGCTGCGTGACTCACAGACTGAGGCTCCGTCTGGATCTGAGGAGCAGAATAAAGAGGAAAAAATCGAGCGACCAGGACTGAAAAAGCAAATCACAGACACATCATGCTCTGAGAGTACCTGATGACTCAAAGAGGGATCCATTCATTTAAAAAAAAAAAAATGTTATCAAGAATGGTGCCCTTCAAACATCAGTTTCTATTGATAAGTGATTCCGAATGAGTCATACAGATTGTTGTTTAAGACTGGTAAACTATAAAAAGTTCACTAACAAAACTCAATAAAACAGCGTTTCTGTATTTAACTATATGGAGTACAATGTATGCCCTCTCATAAAGTATTTGATCATTACAGCATGTTTCCTGGTTGTGAACGGCACCTATGATAAATCAACATTTTGAGGTGCTTGTATTGTTTCAATATTTTTGCATTGTGCCGGTGTCTCATTGATGCTGCTAATTGTTCTTTATGCCTGTATTTATAGCATGTGTCCAGTTTACCTATGTTTCCAAGGCTTAACACAAACTGTAAAATGATAAACGGTGTCACTGACAAAACACTGGTATTCATATTAACACATAAATCTGATTCAATTCGTACTGAAGCTTTTTTTCTTTTGTGGCTCACATTTTAGCCTAGTTAGCAGCTTGTCTTTGCTTCAGAAGTTTGATAAATCAATTTGGACATTAAAGCAGCTTTAAATAAGTTTATGATTAACAATGTTATTTGTAGTGACCAACCCATAGACAAAACGATTATCAGTGACTGCAGTTTCTCTTAGTTATGGAAAATGTTAGCATATTTCAGCTCATTGTTTTGGTTTTAGGCCTTAATTTGACTGTTTTGGTTCACACAACTTTCTCTATCCCTAAAAATGCTCTAAACAACATCAAAAGCTAGCATTTAGCTGATGAACATAAGGGAGTTTTTAGCAGCTAAAGAGTCAGATAATATCCTCTCCAATAATTGGTAGAGATAAAAGGAGAGAAAGATATTGCATTTATATTCATTAGGTTGACATGACTGTAAAGTGGTTACGTATTTGCTGGATGTTTCCAACTGACCTGTTTGCTAACGCGTTAGCTGTATCGGCTTAGCTCTGCTGCTAGGTCAGAATTGTGCTTACATGCCTAAAAAAATAAGTAGTTGTACGTTATCATCTAGTGTGCAGTTATAGGGTCAACATTATTGTTTCCAATAACTTGTTTTATGACCAAATACCTTCGAAACTGATGGCATTCCTATAAGCCAGGCTTTACTAAGTGCAAAGTAGCTAGTTTCACGTGCAACAGGGAGCAGTAATATCAGCTTGTTATCATAGCATTTGTGAGCTTGTTTACATGATAACGGTAGTATTTAGCTTAAAAGTAATTATCAGAACTCTAACACGTGAACTATGCTGCCATAAGCATGTTTGCCAAAGTTATCACACAATATAATAACAAAAATAATGTCTTTCTGCCTAAAAAACACCATTTGTCTGTGCTAAATTTATCATTTTACAGTTGTGTGAACAATGTGATAAAACTGCACTTTTTTCCAGTTTTCAGATAACGTAATAAGGCTTGTGTCAAGAGTAGTAACTTTGTCTCTCAACAGTCAACACTGCCAAACTGGGGTCCAAATATATTTCATGTTCTTTTTAAAGCAACTGTGAGTTTCCATGAGTGTCAATAAAAAAAACTCTTAAAAGTGGTTTACTTTGTTGTCTTGGTGTTAATACATCTAAGTTGAAGTAAAGTTCCTGTCCACTATCAGTGCATTTCTAGTATTCCACTTTCCTACCAGCAGATGGCACACGTTGACAACAACTGACTATATCTTGCTTATCACTGACATCCTCCAACAAGAGGGTTAGGGTTATTGTCTACATCTTTCCTGCCTCAGGACAAACTATGACATCGCTTTTGCTCGGAACATCTGTGCACTGTCACGAAACAAACATTATTTCTTACTGAAAACTTCACAAATGTGCATATAATCCACGCTTTGGCCATTATCATAAAACATACTGAAAGCAAGCAAACACTTCCCCATTCAAATAAAAAGGATTATTAGTGACACATCTGCAAATGTCTTGCCAGATTTTCTTGATGTGAGAACAAAACTGTTCCTGAATATTCATCACAGACACATTTTACATTTCTGCATATGGAGATTGGCAGGGTAATATGAATGATTAATTTTGAAGGACACTTTCCTAACATTATTCATGGTTAGATGTCTATGAGAAGGCTTTTCACAGTATATATAATTGTATAAGTGTTTCTAATATGCCAGGACATTTGGAATAGACAATGAGTCAGTTATTTAAATAATAAATGGATTGTAACGTATAGTCTCACTATCTTTTGTTGTGCTATTTCATATTATTTCACATAATTTACGGCGTACAATATGGCATGTTACTTTATTTTCCTTTACTTATAGTCACCAAATAAAAAGCAACATTTATATCTTGAATGTTAAACTCTACTGTCCTGTATTTCACTCTCACTCTGTTGCTTCTTTAACTCCTGAGTTTCCCTACGGGGATTAATAAAGGTCCATCTCATTTGACCTTATGTTATGTCTCACTGTTTCTGTGTTGCACCATGCAGCCTGCAGAGAGCACTGTAGGGTTTGTGTGTGTGTGTGTGTGTGTGTGTGTGTGTGTGTGTGTGTGTGTGTGTGTGTGTGTGTGTGTGGAAGATCTCAGACAGGAAGCTCTGTGTTCTCCCTCATCATTGTGTTCATGTATAGAAATATGTTTCATGGCTGGCTGAGCCTCCACGCAGCTGCAGCAGGTGTTGTGTTAGTGTACATTCAGCAGTGATGTCACAGTGTGTACAGTGAAGGCAACACAATGTCACCCCCCCCCCCCCCCTGCTTATATAACCAAAGGTGTGTGTCCCCTGTGGTGGGGGGGGGGGGGGGGTGGAGCGGGGGATGCCTGCTTGCATTCAGCCAACAAGCGGGTAAGCAGAGGCGCGGCTGCTGATCAATCACAGACAGAGGAGCTGTAATTCTAGGTTGCCAGGCAACAGGGAGAGAGAAGAAGAAACAATAAAGCGTCTGGAGGGGAGTGGGGGGCGCTGGGTGTGGGTAGTCTCAGCTTTTCACCTCCGTCTCCCTCCTCCTCCTGAATGTCTAGATCTTAATGTGACTTTGTTCATATGTTTAATGCTGAATATTGTGTTGAAATGCACCTTTAAAGAACAAGTACTACAATAGGAGATTTGCTCGTCTTCCTTAAATCAATTCTACTGTCACTATGAGCAACATATGCATCAACAGACAGGTTAGGACATGTCAATACAATGGGAGGAAAATGTTTGAAACATATTTGTTCTACTCATTTTAAGAGAATGAACTGCTGCATGGCAAATATGAGTAACGCATCTGAAATAAGCACAAATATCATATTAGTGAATATTTATATGGAGTGTCTTGCCTTACCATGGACACGACACATGACATTTACATGTTCACACCTGTCTGTACGTGTTACATCAACACACATCATGAGACTGTCTCTATGCATTGCATCCTCTTGTGTATGCTTAAAACTGTTATTTTATATTTATACAGTACAGAAACGTATAGATGAATATTATTTACTTGGTTATATTTTTATGTTTTCACAGAAAAAAGTAAAAGGCCGGGAAGAAAACAGAAAAGAAACAAGCGTTAAGAAAAAATATGTCCTTTATTCTTTTGGCTTTGAAATGATATCACCATATGAGCGGACAGTAGTCACTTCCTGCATGCAGTTCACTAAAACACTACAAGCGCAATGAGAGATGGCTACTGATTGCTTCATGGTTTATCTACACGTATGGGGACCTTACATCATGTGTTACAGTGCAGAACGAAAAATGCACTCATATCTACAGTAAAAATGTTATTTATAATGGGTGGAACAAGCCGCAGTTGCACACACGCGCGCTCACATGAAGAGACTACATTCTCCCGCTCTTACAAAACACACATGACTTACATAAATGTGGGGATCAAAAGTGCTCTTACATCAAATGTAAGTGTGATGCATACTGTGGGCCGAGATAGCTATACTATATACAAACCAAAGCACTACATCGAACCACTCGCTTCTCGGTTTAAACAACATGGATGCCATACAAACATTTGTGATATTATAAATGTGATATATTGTCATGTTCTAGCTTGACATTTTCTTAAAGTATATTTCATTAGTTCAGGGGGTTTTCTTTACAGGGGCTCTGGGGGAAACAAATACAAGTGTCACTTTAAAAAGGCATAGTTCTGATGTTTTGGGAAATTTGCGATCATTTCCAAAAATGTCAAACTAGCTCTTTAACGCGTACGCATACATTCAGCTTCTCTGCGTTGCTATGGGAGATGTGAGTCCAGACAGAAGCACGATACAGACATCACTGATGGCACACCTGTGAGTACAATTCATCCGTTGCACTTCAGCTTTGTGTCCCATTGTCGGCCAGTGGTGCGTTTACAACAGTGAAAGCAGACATATTCTCACAGTGAAACTAAAAAGTAGAAAACATTCTTTCTCGTAAAAAATAAAAAGAATGCAGAGTACTTATTAAGTGATACAGCCATCGTTAAATTCAAGACACTGGATTTATAGTAGTAGCAGCGGCACTAGCTACAGACAACTTAACAGTACACTCAAGTGTGTCAGATAGTAACAACAACCAATAGGAAACTCACAAGCATTTTGCACAGAGGCTTTTTTCACTTTGTGTTCACATATAACACTCCCATGTCAGGCCTCCTTCTAAGACACACACTATGTCCCCACTTTAGAAGCTGTAAACAAATGTCTCTGATGCATTGTTATTTTTTGTTCCTATTCATAAACTTTTATTTTTTCCGGTCCTTCCCTTTGTTTTCCTTCTCGTATTTGTCCTTGTCCGACTTGGTCACGCTGTTGTAGGAGGGCGGGGAGGCCGTGGAGGGCGTCATGTCCGTTTTCTCCGAGGTGGACATCTCGCTGAACTTGCAGATGACCATGACGTCCTTGTCGGGGTCCCGCATGCCCTCCTTCAGCTGCTCCTTGTAGAGGGCGGAGGCCTTCTTCATGGTGCTGCAGAACAGGAAGCGGCGGAAGGCTCTCTGGATGATGAGTGCCGCTATGTCCTCCTGTTTGCGGCGCAGCGTGGTGATGATGGGCTCGTAGGACACCTTGGAGGGGTTGGAGGCCATGAAGCGCTCCTCCATCTGCCCGCGCAGCACGTCCATCTCGCCGCTCTCGCCCAGCACGCGCTTGGTGAAGGCGAACAGGATGTCCAGGCAGTGGATGCGCTCGCCGCTCACCATGGGTAGGTCCATGGAGATCAGCTGGAGCATGTTGGGTTTGGGCATGCGCAGCGGCGGGTCCAGGGCATCGGCAAAGTCAGACAGCTTGCTGTACTCCATGAACTGAGTGGCGCCGGGGTCGAAGCGCTCCCACACCTCGTAGAACATCTCAAAGTCGTCCTCGCTCAGCGGCTCGGCGCTCTCCTCCGTGGCCACGCTGAAGTTCTCCAGGATGACGGCGATGTACATGTTGACCACGATGAGGAAGCAGATGATGATGTAGCTGACGAAGAAGAAGATGGCCACCGACGGGTTGCCGCAG